TCTCAGTCGTTTCTCTCCTCATCTTGACCTTAGCTTAGTATTTCATTTGGGTCAAGAAAAGAGTATGTAGGAGAGGGATGTTATTTTAACAAACAGTAAAATGGACAAAAATGAACAGTTTGCCTACATAAAAGTAAAGTTAAAGTTAAATTCATATATCTTGGTATAATTAAATCATTTAAGAACTAATAGTTCTATATACAGTTCCATTGTTTTACTTGGGGCTTAATCTAAACTTTAATGTAAAAGAACAACTTATTAGGCATATGCTCAGGTTTCTTCTCTGGAGTTACTATGAAAAAGATCAGCAAGTAACTACCACCAATAAAATAGTCTGAAGCTGCCTCCAAATTTAACATTGTAGGCATTCTGAAGGAAATCACTGTATCATTTTTCTTTTGTCTGTGACTATGCTTTCAAAGATGTGTTTAACTGTCACTTTAAAAAAGTCCATATACAATACAAAAATACAAAACAAAACACCCTACAGTACACAAATCTAACAGTATATGTGATGAACAATTCTATAAAATGTGTTTGAAAATGCATTTTCTTTCATTTTCAGTACCCACAATATGGCCAGGCCACTGGGCAGTATATATACACTTAAAATAAACCATATAATTGTTCTAATAAGAAATCCTGTAGCGAGTTCAACTCAAATTGGATTTAACAACTTAGTAATGTAAATGTGTAGACAAAGTTACAGAAAATGCATCTTACTGTTTTCCATCTTCTACAATGTTATTTTTTTTTTTTTGGTGTTTATACCTTTTAAAACATAAAAACCAGCCAAATACTTAATCAGTATGTACATTTAAATTTTTGGTGGTGGTTTTTATTTTAAAAGAAACAGCTTCCTTATGATTTGCCTCAAGTTCTGGTGGAAATGCTTACAAGAATTAGCTAGTAAACACACAAAAACCAAGACAAGCACATTCAAAATACTGATTTACTTTGGTAGCAAATGGCTGTTCTTTGAAGACTAATGAAAGTAGACAAGACCATTAATGTGATATGGGCTATTTCAAATATGATACTTCACACAGAAATTTTTTTAAAAAATTATTTTTAGTAAAAGAGCTAAGCATCTGTATCCACTGATAGCAATGCAATACCTAATAATGTGATGACAAAACAAATGCCCATAAGGAAAAAAGCTATTTTAATTTTATCTAAATTTATTTTCAGTCAATAGTCCAGCAACATTTTCCTTTCAATACAATATTCCCCCTTTTTCTGTAAGGCTGTTCCTGGAAGCCAGACAGTCAGTTTAGGTAATGAGGGAGTTAATTTAGGAGTAACTGCTGACAGTTTTAAATAGACAGTTATTTTTTGCTTCCCTCTTAATGCGCTAATGTGTCTAAAAAAATATGCAATTCTTAAAAAGGTACCATTTCTGATTTCTTTATGATCTGTAACCTTTGGGAACTAATCACATGAAACTACAAAATTAGCAAATGTCTTGAAATCTGTATATAAAACATAAATTACTTCTAATTTCAAACTCTCACTTATTAGTGTACCACTCAATCTTAAAAAAAAAATGAAAAAGAAAAAGCGGCTCCAAAGATAGTCTTATACCATTTTAAAAAAGGAAACTGTTCCTTTTAACTTTACACCCACCCCACACTCCAATTCAAAACACATCATTTAATTGTCTTGGTCATGAACATTTCCAAGGTGAGATTTTATATTTCGTTCCCATAGCTTCTGGTTATCAGAAAACCCATGCTTTCCTTTATTGAAAGAGTTTGGTCTGGCTGATGTTGGTATATCCCTTCCAGTATTCTTCATCCTCATCTTTGCTTTTCTGGAGGCATTTCCTCCGGTTCACTATCTTCGTCTTCATTAAAAGCTGCTGCCACTGAAAGGGTTTTTGGAGAAAGAATTGGTACAGTTTCTTTAGGCTTACTTGATCCAAGTTTGATGGATATAGCTGATGCTTTCTTTGTTGTCTGACTACCTACGGCAAATCCAAACTTGGAGATCTTTGTAGGCTTTGTTGGGAGGTCTGCAGCTTCTTTAGCTGATCTCTTCTCAGCGCTGCGACTGGAACTTTCCCCTCCATTACTCCGGCGGCTCCAGCTCTCTTCGGGTTCTCAGGCTTCTCCTCTCCCGCCTTTCCGTCGGCCATTTTCCCGGCTGCGGCCTCCCCAGCAGCCACGCCAAGGAAGTCACCAGGGTACTTTTAAATACTATTTATAGCAGTTCAAAATACTGCGACCTGTATGGAGTATATTGGTACTATAGTATGTTTTAAAATTTCAACTGTATCTATATTTGCATTATTCAATAGGGAAAAACTGGAAAAAATTTAATGTCATGCAGCAGGGAAATCATTAAATTATGGTACATTCTTTGTACAGAATCTGTAGCTATAAGTATTGACACATGAAAATGTATGTAAAATTCTTAAAGATGCAGAGATATATATGTATATATAACCTACAGATATCATAATTGGATTAAAAATAAAGAGTATATAAGTGTGACTTTTTGGACTGGTTCTCCCCTGAGGAACAGAGCATGGAAGTTTTGATTTTTACAATGGAAGTATACCTTTTTGTTTGCTGTTTTTTAGGTACTAGAGATTGAACCAAAGGCACTAAGCTACCTTCCTAACCCATTTTTATATTTTAAGACCAGTTGTTGCCAAGTTGCTAAGTTACCTAGGTTGGGCTTGAACTTTCAGTCCTCCTCTGTCAGCCTCTCAGAATTCTGGGATTACAGATATATGCCACCATGCATGGGTAAATGTATATACTATGTGTTAACAAGAATTTTATATTAAAATGATTGGCATAAAACTTCATATATTTGAACTCTCTAATTTGACAAATTTGCCATTACATATACCAGTGAAATAATCAAATCAAGGTAATATCCATCCCCCCCAAAAACCCTGTCTTTTTAATCTCTCTCTGACACAGACTCTAGCACCCACTGATGCACTCTGTCACTATATAGATTATTTTGTCCTTTTTAGAATGTTATAAAAATGAACCTATACCATATATATTCTTTCTTTTCTGGCTTTCACTCAGGATAATTATTTTGAGATCATTGAGAATTAATGTATCAATAGTTTGTTCTTTCTTATGGCTGAGTAGTATTCCACTGCATGGATCTACCACAATTGGTTTATCTGTTCAGCTGTTAATGGACATGTGAACTATTTCCAGTTTTTGGCTGTTTATATAAAGTTGCTATGAACGATTGCACGTACATATTTTTAAGGACATGTACTTTTTCCCTGTTGGCTAAAGAGCTAGGTAAAGAATGGCTGGGTCATAAGAAAGGTATACGCTTAGCATTTTAAAAAATTGTCAAAACGTTTTCCAAGTTGGTGCATCGTTTTACATTCTCACCAGACTGAAGTATGAAGCTGAATCAATAAAGGTAATAGTCCTTTCACCATCATCCCATGAGGTAAGGACAGCAACCATGAACTCACTGTATAGGTATGATCTGAGATTGCCCCTACTAAAAATGTGTTTCAGACCTCTGTAGTCAGATTCTGTTGTGTCCAGATTACGAAGTCCCAAAGACCACCAGGAGGCCGTTTTTGATGTAAGCACACGAGGGTCGTTTATTCAAGCTTAAGCAGGGACTCTCAATTGTCACTGACACAGCGGATCGAGATTGAGAGCCCCGAGTTCCAAATTAGCGGGGTTTTTATAGAGGTTACAGTAAGGTTTGGAGATTTTTCACTTAGCAGTTACATGATTGGTTAACATTTAGCGAGCATAAAGCGTACATTTTTGATTGGCTGAACTCATCAGGGATAAGGGGGGATTATGTATAGGTTTTACAAAAGAAAAAAAGGACAAAGGTTAGTGGGCAACTGTCACGTATTGATGGTCAGCAGACACGGTGACTAATGGTCACGACCACCCAGCACTGACAGTCAGCACATTGACAGACGGTTCTTACAGATAGTGGGCCCAGGATGTTCATTTCCTGGGTAAACAGATGGCTGAGTAATTAACTTAGGAACTTTGGTTTGTTACAGATTGTATCTTTTGTTCCAGAGCAAACACATTTTAACCATTAATGTGAGAAGACAAAAGAGACTACTCCATTTTGGGCAAAATGGAGTCATTCTGGTCTCACATAAACAAAATAGAGTTATTTTGGTCTCACAATTCCTTTGAGAATCTGGCTAAAGTCACTGTTGGTGTGGGGTGTAGAACAACACACATGAACAAATGCCACACAGGAATTACATATTGGAAATGAAGATGGCCTGAACTGAAGACTGAAGCTGCCAGTCAGGATGGAAAAGACAGAGCTTAAGTTTAGACACAGTGAAAAGTTATAATGGTTGGGACTTGGAGAGAGGGAGGATGGGGAGAGAGCGTGCAATCCCCAAGTTTTAGTGACTAGGTGATGGAGATGAGAAGGAAGGAATGGTTTTGGTGAAAGAGGTCATTTTTCGCTGCTGTCTGTGACATGCCTGCACGACACAAAGAAGCTACAAGTATTCGGAAAGTGGTCGTAAATATGTCATGGTGGAAATACAGGCTCCTCGTGCAACAACTTGCATTTAAGCAGTCAAATTCTTCTCTTACTGAGCACTCTATTGTTTTTCTTTTCATCCTTAGTGCTCACATCCATCATAGGGAATTTGTACCTGTACATAACATACCGTAATTATTTTTTTCCCATTGCCCTCCTCTTCATCCATCCTTCTTACCCTATTTATAGAAGCTTTACTTCCGTTTTTTCCTTCCATTCGTTTTTTAATCCCTTCCCCCCTTCCTTTTTCCATTTGAACATGTTCTTCCAACTTCCCAGTTATCTATCCTCTGTTTTGCACCCTGTTTACTTTTAGGGCTTCTCACACAGATAAAACAATGCCATATTTAAACTTGCATGACAATTCGCTTCTCTACCTCACATTCCCTCCCACGATCTGCGCAATGGCGTCAGCCTTTCGGACCCGTGGATTCTCTCTCTCCGCCCCCCCCACCCCCCAACTCAACTCTGCGCGTGCGCAAAGCGCTTGCGCACCACGCCTGCTGCCGCCGCGCCCATCTCCGGGCGTCTAGATTTCTATCCTTTCCTCCGGCCCCGCCCAAGCGGCTGCCCGTGACCTGCCTGGGCGCAGGGAACGGAAAGCCGGAAGGGGCAAGACGAGTACAGTTCGCCATGGGGCTGTTTGGAAAAACCCAAGAGAAGCCACCCAAAGAGCTGGTAAGAGATGCGGCAGCAGTAAATAAGTGGGTGGATTTGCGAGGGGTGTAGAGGTGTTGACAAACGACCGGACACTTTCCTCTCAAGCCAGCCTCGTACCACCTGGCCCCCATTTCCGGGGCCTCCCACTCAACCTAGGGGCCTGAGGAAGAGTCTCTAAAGAGTCGGCTGTGGGTAGATAGAGCCGTTGGTACCTCACCGTCGACCGAGGAGCAGAGGGCTGTGTTAAGAGCTCCTTAAAGTCCCCAAAGGGCGCCGAGGCAGCGACGCGATGTTGGACGCTGGAAATCCCTTCCCCCTGCGCGCGTTGGTACGTCCCGCCCGGAACCTTTCTCTGGCTCAGGCTCCGCCCCTGGCGCCTGTCTAAGGAGCACCCGGCGAACCAAGTCCTTCTCGGAGCACCTTTCCTGGAGGACCCGACCCGACCCGACCCGCCGGAGAGTCCTCAAACCTGTAGCTGCTTCCTCATGTCAGTATTGAGAGGGAGGCTCTTTTTCCTCTTTCCGCAGGCCTGCAACCTCATGCTGACTCCAGAGGCTCAATAATTATAAGTAGGGACCCGATCTAGAAGAATATACCGAAAATAGCTCTGCATGGATTTTGAGCTCCAGATCAGCGTATAAAATGAATTAATGTGGGAGGCAGACTGTTAAAAGTGCTGTATGGAGTCGTCCAAGTTTGAATGCTTGTCCATATCTCTGCCCTGTGATCACGAGAAGTTAACGTCTCTGAGTCTTAGTCTTTTCATCTGTCAAGAATAATATTAGAGTAATGGAAAATTAAAAGATGTAAAGTTTGAGTTCGTGGTGGTAGTGAGGGTTCATTTTTCATATATTGCTACTAAGTTCAGACCAGTATCACCTGGGGGCTGATTAGACATCTTGGGGCCCACCTAAGACTGAATCAGATTTTAAATTCTGACAAGATCAAACCAGGATCATTAGTGATTGTAGGCACCCTAATACAGAAAGACTCTTCAATTCTCAGACCATAATAAAAACAAACTTGTGCGCCATCCCTGCCATTTTCTGTTAACTAGCTTTCTCTTGTAGGTTCCGCTGTTGAAAGATAAATAGATATTGTGTTTTTAGCAATTGTATTTATCATTTAAAAGTCGATAAAGTGTTGTACAAGCAGTACATTAGAGAGTGTTTTCAACAGTAATGAGTCTGTTTCTGCAGACTCTTATCTCAACTTTTGAGTGGTAAAGTTAGGGCCACACACTGAAGGTAATAATCTCTCCCTACCATCAAAAACACTTATACCCGGCTGGGGATGTAGCTTAATGGTGCCTTGCCTGCCTTGCAAGTGCAAGGTCTAGCGTTTGATTCCTGGTACTAAAAGTAAAAATCACATAAAATAACTAGCATCTTAGAATATATACATACCACAAAATGTGCATCTACACAATGTTCTAAAGTTTGCAAAGTGATGGTGTGCTCTTTTATCTCATTTAAGGTCCATAAGTTAATTTTTATGGGGGAGAAAACTGAACAGGTAAGATCACTACTAAATAGAGGATGTTATGATTGGCATTGTGACACATGCTGTAGTCCCAGCTGCCTGGGGGACTGAAGCAAGAGGATTGCTTGAGCCCACGAGCTTGAGGCTAGCCTGTGAGGTCCCATTTCAAAAAACATAAGTAAAAGATTTCAGGTTTTTTCCATTATGGAAATGTGAGTGTTCCAGAGGAGAGCTTCTCAAACATTGGTGCTTCTCCATTAATCTGTGTACTAATCACTAGAGATCTTGTCAGAATTCAGTCTGTTGTGGGTCCTTGGATATCTAATCAGCTGATGATGGTCTCATGTTGCTGATGCCACCTGGTCTGCTTTTGAGTATCAAGGCTGTAGAATACAAAGAATGAGCCCTCACTAACACTACTAGCTAAAATGCCTGGAACTAAGTATGCTAGTCACACTGTGGGGACTGTCAACATCAGGAAGTAGGTACAGTACTGTTACTGTCCCCACTTACAGATGTGGAACTAAGGGATAATTTGCCCAAGGTTATACAGTTTGCAAATTACATTACCAGTGGTTATAATCTAGTAAGTTCTACTGTGAGACCTGTACTCCTAATTGTCAAGCCATTTATGCTGCTTCTCAAATGGGGAATATAAAGATGTAATAATAAACCAAGGGACTTAATATCTAGCCAGTAACATAAGCATTTCAAGAACAAGTCTGGATTGGGTACCACATATATAGTTATAAGAATTCAAAAGTTAGAGTGGTCAACCCCAGGTTGGGGTGATCAGAAACTATTTACCCTTGCTTTGTCATTACTCAAGATTTTCTTCAAGTTCCTCTCAGCACTCCAAAGTATCTTTTCAGTTCTGATTAAATCTTGTTTGCATTTGTTAGGAGAATTTTTCAGCTTTGGTTTCAGCTTCTTTAAAAGCACAAAGCTCTCTCGAATCATGTGACTTGTGGCTAGAGAGTTCTGTAACCTAGTACAGTTATTTAGCATGGAATTTTTAATTCAAGAAAATGCTGATAGGGCAGGGATGGGAAATACTTCTTTGGTAGAGCTTCTGATGTACAAAACATTGGGAGCCACATATAAATAAGAAAACTGTTAGTTTGGCATTGTTTTTAATAGGTAGAGAAACAAAATGTTCAACTTCATAAAAAGCTAAAGGAAATTAAAAAAAATATAATACTAGGGAAGAAGAGTTAAAGAGAAGTAGAAAATTGACTAAGTGTTCTAGTCTCAGCTAGACAACATTTTTTGAGTTGGGATATGTTTACAGTATGCCTTTCACTGGGGGTTGGAGTATGTGGGCTTGTGGGTTCTTGTACTGGCATAGTATATATGGCTAGGTGCTGGTGTGCCATGCCACGATGGTGGTTGAACATGGTACCATTTGGGCCATGAAAGTGAGACACATTATGGGTGGTATTCCCAGCACAGAATAGTTGCTAAATAAATGTTGACTGATAAGTGTCAGAATAAGGTTAATAAGTAAGCTTTATGGTCAAGTAATCTTACATGAGCAATGTTTCAAGGTATACTGGGAAACATTAGCTATATGAGGAGTTTTTACAGACTGAAGTCTCAGCTCCCAGACATCCCAGGCACTCTGATGAGGACATTTTAGTGGTGAAACCTATTCTGTCTTAAAGAGTCCAAGTTAAGACTAGACCAGACCAGGGCTGGGTATTTAGCTCAGTGATTCCGCCGCCTGCCTTGAAAGCGCAATGTCCTGTGTTTGATCCCGGTACAAAAAAAAAAAAGACTAGACCAGACCCTCTGAGAATGAGGGTGCCTTATAGTACATTTAGAAAACTGTGATGGTCTTGGAGCAGAAACCACAAAGACTTGAAGTTCTGCTCAAGAGTCTTCTCTTCGATTCAAGGTTCTGCTGGAAAATTGTGCTGTCACTGATAAAGCCTTTGAACAGAGTGGTCAGCTTTATAAATCCTACACTGAGTCATAGCTCATGGTTGTGTGATACTGTCGGGGAAGAAAAGAAAATAAGGGATGAGTAAAAAGATAAGTCTCCTTCACTTAATTCATACAACAGAGACTCATTGAGATATATTTTCATGTTCATTGTGTTGGAAACAGGTTTAGAAAAATAAGTCATTGGATGATACTTTCAAAGAATACAAAGTTTACTAGGGGAGATGAACATGTGAACAAATACTTAAGGAGAAAAAAATAATGTAAACAAGGTCTGTGATGTGAGAGTGATTAACTGTTGGGAAGGGGATCTGGTCAAGGAGAGTGTTAAGTTTAGGTCTAAAATGTCCACCAAGAGTCTCGTGTTCAGAGGTGATTGTATCATGGGGGTACTATTCTCATCAGTGGATTAATCCATTGATTCGTTTATAGTTGAATGTGCTGTTAGGAGTTGGGACCCAGTTGGAAGGGTTGGGTCACAAGAGCTTCCCTTTAGAGGATATCACACTCTTTCTCTCTCTGGATCTTCCTGTTCTCTGATTCCTGACTATTGTGGGTTGAACAAGTTTCCTCTGCCAGGCCCTTTAGCTATGCCATTTTTATTGACCATGGACTGAACCCTTTAAAACTATGAACTAAAACAAACCTTTTCTCCTTTAAGTTGTATATGTCAGGTATTTTTTCCCAGGTGGAAAAGCCAATATAGTGTACCTGGGCCTTGCCATAAAAGACATAAATCAGGTGGGTGGGTGGGTGGGTATAGGATTAGGCAAAGGGAGATATTCCAAGCAGAATGAATTTAAATGCAAGGTATAGAAGTACAGAACATAAATTAGAGGAACCAGGAAAAAAATTCAGAATGGTTGGAAGATGAAATACAGTTCTCACTGAGTGGGATGCAAGAGGAGTGATGATAGTTATAAGATATAAAATTGAAGAGGAAGGCAAAGGAGAGATTGGCAAAGACCTAAGGATGGGAAGCATTCAGAACAATTATTTGGAGCATGAATTTGAGGGAAGAAGCTTGGGTAGGAAGGTCATTTAGTGGCCCAGGTAAGAGATACACACGTCTTAAGATTAGCAGAGGGAATGGAGTAAGATGAGTTTTAGGAGCATTTCAGTACAGTTAGTTTGTTGACCTACTGTGTGTAGAAGTGCGAGGATGATTCTTAGGCTCTTCTTTAACTCCACTCCCAATCAAATCTATTCATGTTTTTTGTTTTGTTTGTTTTGTTTTGTACCGGAGATCAAACTCAGGACCTTGCACTTTCAAGGCAGGCGGCGGAACCACTGAGCTAAATCCCTGGCCTATTCATGTTCTTGAATGGGAGTACCATGAACTGAAATTGAGAGAATTAAAGAGAAGAGTGTGTTTGAGGGGAATGGTGATAATGAAGGAGAAGGAGCCAAAGAGCTCAATTTTGAACCAAATTCGAGAGATAACTCTAGAGATAGGTATGTCCTGGGAAATATTTTCCTCTTTTACTCTGTGTCCTTAGCAAAAATGTAAGCTATGTTTTTCTGCTGTACCATCTACTGGGCTGACATAATGTTGAACCTTTTCGTTATGTGCTTATATGGTGGGAGGGCAA